GATGCACCTCAAGTTCCTAGAAAAACAAGAAAAATCCAACCCAAAGCTAGTATGAAGAAGGAAATTATAACCTTCAGCAGAAATTAGTGAAATTGGACTAGAAAAATAACAATGAATTAAAGGGTTAGTTCTTTCTTACCAAAATAAGACTCAAATTCATGCAATTAGAAATGAAAAAAGCAAAATCACAATGGATTCTGACACAATCCAGATCATCAATAAATATGTAGTTCATACTAACAGAAAATTTAGAAGAAATGGATTAATTTCAAGATACATATGAACTAGCAAACCTGAATTGAAAAAAGTTCTGAATAATGCCACAGTAAAACAAAAGACTAGAATATGGCAAAACTGACTGGAAAAGTAGGTGTGACTTGTTAATTACAAAATCCTAGGACAAGCCCCAGAACAGTTTTCAAAGCCCTGCAAGTGGACTTCTCATGAGAACTCCAGCAGATTTTCCACAGGACAGACTAAACATCAGCTTGAGGAGTGGGTGATAGAAAAAGGATGTCCACACTGAGGTTTTGCCTTCTTGCATGGTAGCCATTCTCACACTGTAAGGTACACTTCTTTTCATACTTTTATTTGACCCAAACTTGCTCTGCAAAGCCAGTTTCTTTTCCTGCCATTTATAAGATATTGCTATCATTTGCACTTAAGTTGACCAATTTTTTACTCACAACACAAAAAACCTAGAAGCCACCTGCAGGAGGAGCTCTAGTGCCTCCAAACCTGGTAACAGTACCAATCAATAACATTGAAAAGTAAAAAATAAAACAAAAACTATGAACTAAGAAAATCCCAGTTCCAAAGAACTCACTACCAAATTCAGTAAGAACTTTAGAGAAGATCTAATGTCCATACTCTTCAAACTCTTTAATGAAACTGAAAGAGAAGCACTACTTCCAAAATCATTCCTAGAAGCAAGCATTACCTCCATTCTAAAACAAGAAAAGGACCCAACCAAAAAATAAAACTACAGGACAATCTCTTTTATGAACATGGATACAAAAATCCTCAATAAAATATTGACAAACAGAATGCAGTAAGTCATGATAAAAATTATGTATCATAATCGAGTAGGACTCATTCCATGGATACAGGGATGGTTGATATGCTAATCAATAAAAGTAATATACCACATAAATAGAAGGACAAAAATCACATGATTATCTCCATAGCTCCAGGAAGAGCATCTGACAAACTCCAACATCCATTCATGATAAAAGCCCTGAAGAAAACAAAAGGTTTGTCTTAGTTATTTTTCTCAATGTTAAGACAAAATACCCACCACCCAAAGTAAAATAAACACCCAAATTTTATTTAGCTCATAGTTCGTAGTTTTTAGTCCATAGCTGGCTGGCAGGATACTTTGCAGAGAAAAGAGGAGAAACAGTTCGTTACCAGCAGAAAACAGCAAAGGCAACCAACGACCTACAAGTAACCAGAAATAAGCATCTTTCTTTCCCTTACACTGCATCCAGGCTACCAGCCCTAAGATGAATAGCACTCACACCCTTAATCCCAGAACCATACTCTGAATCAATCACACACTCTAGATCCAGCCACTTATGAAAATCTCAACCTATGACCACATGAGGCTTTGGGGTACGCATCTGGTTTCATAACAAGGTCTGTATCCTAATCTAATTTAAAAACATCTAAGACAATGGCCAACATCATATTGAATGGAGAAAAGCTGAAAGTTTTCTCTCTAAAGTCAGAAACAAAATGTCTGTTATCACCACTCCTGTTCAACATACCTGAAACATCAGCCAGAGCAGTTCAGCAAGAAAAAGAAATAAAAGGCACATGGATAGGAAAGAAAGAAGTAATACTATCATTATTTGCTGATGACATGATCCTCTACAAAAATATATCCAAAATTGGACCAAAAGATTTGCAGAATTAACAACCAAACTCAGGATACAAAGTCAACATTCAAAAATCAATAGCATAGTAGTAAACCAAAAATAAGCTCACTGAGAGAAAATATGAAAGTAATAGCTTTCATGATGGCATCCCAAAAAACCCCTCAGAAATCAGCCTAACCAAGTGAAAAACCTCTACAATGAGAATTACAGGACTCGGAAAACGATATTGAAAAAGGTATCAGAAAATGGAAACATATCCTCTATTGTTGGATAGGCAGAACCAATATAGTCAAAATAGCCATATGTCCTAAACTATTACACAGACTTAACACAATTCCAATCAAAATACCAACAGCATTCCTCACAGAACTAGAGAAAGCAATCATAAAATGCAAATGGAGACAGAAGAAATCTAGAATAGTAAAAGAAATTCTGGGCAACAAGGGCAAGGCAGGGACATCAAAACCCCAAATTTCAAGTTCTACTACAAAGCTACATTGATAAAAAGGCAACAGAGTTAAGACATACCACAGCGATGTTTGCATACTCATGTTTATAGCAGCACAATTCGTAATAACTAAATCTTGGAAGTAGCCTACATGTCCACCAACAAATGAATGGATAAAGAAAATGTAGTATTTATATACAATGGAGTACACTGACATAAAGAAGGATAAACTGAGCCATTTACAGGAAAAAGGGTACAGCTTGAGACCATAATGCTAAATGAAGTTAATCAGATAGACAAACTTAAAATATCGCATGATTTCTCTTATATGAGAAACTGAATATAAAGTATACAATAGAAGACAAAAGGAAAAAATAGAAAACAGTTATTATAATCCAACATGAACAATGTATCTACTAGTGTACTTTGATTTAGTGTAATTGTCCTATATGCTTTATGTTTTTTGGCCTGTTAGTCTAGCTCTTAATCTATGTGTATTAACCTTAAAGAGCTTATAAAATTAATGAATCTAATGCTGTCAAAAAAAAAGGGAGGGGTGTGGAGGAGGAGAAAAAGAATTGAAATGTGTTTTCTACATGTCCCAGTTCCCCACAATGAATATAATCATCATGTGCCACAGATAAGTACTTGTAAAATTAAAACCTTTTAAGAGCCTCAATTAATTTACCCTGTAATACTCAAGAGAAGTACAAAATAACCCAGGCCAAACCAAGTCAACTCCCCAATACAAAAAAACTAGAAAAGGAAGATTCTTCATTTTGAAAGATCCATTTCATCAATGCAGGCTTGTGGTTGGGGAGTAAAAAGAAGAGGAATAAATTAATCTGTATAGCAGGCAGATGGTAATAGCCACCTAGGACACCGCTTTGTTTGCTTGGCTATATTCCCTTCTACCATGCTCTGTTCCTCAAGGCATCTGACACTAGTCCTTACTTTCTAGATGAGAAGGGAAAAGCATTCCCAAGTTTCTCAACAACAAAGGAAAAAGAATAAAGTCCTGCCCTCAGTAAAGTTAACTTCATCCTACACTTTTTATTACGTACTTGGAAAATGAGTCCTCACTCTGTATTTCCTGCTGCTTCCAGGGTGTAGACTTCTATGTCCAGGTACCAAGAAAGTAAAGCCATCTGTCTACTATACACCTTAATCTGATCAAATAATAGAGCATCCTTTCTTGTTTTGCATTTCTAACCTTTAAACCTCCATCTATCAATGAATTCCTTTGCTCAATGAATAAGCATTGCAGTCACTTGAGCTAGAAACTCTTGGGGTCACACTTAAAATCAAAGTCAATCTTAACCTAGGCCAACTGCTCCTGCATCCCTTATTTTCCCCAGTTCTGTCCTCTCCATTTTCAATGCCATTACATGGATTTAAATCCCCATCACTGCTCATTTGGGGTCACATCAGTATTCTTCAAATCTCTCTTCACCTATAGGATTTTTGCCCACCTCCAGTTTATCTTCCTGCAGTAAAAGTCAGTGCCATAAAGTTTATACTGCTTACAACCCTTTCGTGGGTTTTCAATCACTTCAACTTCTTGAGACAATGAAATAACTGCTCTATGTGATACCAAAAATCACTATGCTGGACCAAATTATCTCTAAGCTGCTACTTCTACTTGCCCCAATTCTGACAATATCAAAACCCTAAAAGGTCGTATTTCCTCACACCTTCATACTTTTGCTCACACAATTTGCATCCTTGAAATGTACCCTTAGCCTTAGGATATTTCTAAAACAGAAATAGGCTTGGAAATCACACTACTAAATCTGTGAAGAGGTGGTGTGTGGCATGTGCCTTACCAGAAAAGGCCAAAATGCAAATTACTAACTTTTCAGTTATAATATTAAAGGCTCTTATCCAAATATGAAATGTATCTGTGTTTGAGAAAGGATCATTTTCATCCGTACAAATGTGTAATAAATAATTGACCTTTATCAAAATACACTTTATTTTAGTCAAAACTATAAATATTTTACTGTTGAACAGAATCCCAGTACCTACAATTAATTAGATAATCTTATTTATATAGCAGCATGGTTTTGATGACCTGCTTTCTTCAACTTCAATGAATTTCAGAAATCCTACAGGAGTCAACTGATTTTATCTTTAACAGTGTGAAACATACCCTGACTAAAGTTCCTGTGGGAAAACAGTCTCTCTATTCAAAAACGCAGATACGTAAACCAAACATAGTTGTGCAACCTACAACAAAGAAAGCTAGCAGAAAATATTAGTAGAAATTATTCAGTATTTATACTAAATATGTAATTTACCATTTAAACCCATTAAATGCCCAACTTTCACACAAATCTAGTTACTACTTAAAGGTGATCAAAGGCTGTCCATATGGAAATGATTTTAAAACAGGTTGCTGACAGTATAAGATAATAATCCTATACTGTCTTAGCAAGAGATGGAAATGGAGAAAAATCAGTAGTAAAATTTTATATTCAGCAACAACTACATAAAACATTATACATATTGCGTTGTGGACAGCTAACATTCTATTAAAAACCCACTATGTACAAAGCACAACTCAAGGCAAATCAATCTGTATCTTTAATGAACAATAATGTGACATAAAACACCAACAGTAAAAATTAATTTTTTATATAAGCCCACAAAAAACAAGCTTTAAAGGATACTGATCTGTCTGTGGTCTTCGAAAGTTTTCAGGAAGGTTGGCTTCATAGAGTAGTCTTGCTTTAGTATTTCCCATATCTTGCATGCACTGCAATTTAAAAAGAAATCATTTCATTACTCACGAATATTAAATAGCAATTCCTACATGGACATACAAGCATGCCAATACTAAAAGTATTTCCAATATATTCTCCTTCGAAAGTAATTTAAATCATACCTATGAAAATGAAATTAATTACTCAAATTCCAATTAAGAGATATTTTTTGTATTTCACATTTTTCAACATGTGAGTATACAATTTTTAAAACCTTTTTTCTGTGAAAATAATACTGCTTTATACTCATTACTTCCTAAAAGTGAAATTCCTGGCAGTCTGTTTTTTGTTTGTTTTTTTTTAATACACTGCTCAAACAATTTCGCCATTTCAAAGCTAACCACTCAAGATCAAATTTTGAGTTTTGATATACTCTAGAGTACTCCCAATTTACAGTCAAGCTCACCATGGGCCTGTAGGGAATTTCTCACACAGGTTCAATTATCACTTGGTTTCTCTTAGATGAGAAATATAAATAAAGAACAAAATAGAAGATAAATAGGAAATAGGGAAAAGTTTAAATACTTCCCCATTACAAATTTCATTGTTAAGATTCATGTTATCCTGTTTCTTTTTATAAGAATCTTTTTGGTTTATGTCTTGTACTATGAATAACTACTTTGAAGATAATGATACACAGTGTAATAACTGTTATTTATTATGAAATTTTTTTTCATAAAAAACATATTTAAATAAATGAAATAGTGCTGACCTCGAATTGTACATAATTGTATTAACTTCTCTGGAGATGTGAACCCCCTTTAGATCCTGCTAAAAGCTTTCTCCACTAAAAATAAAAACAAAAACACCTCCGTGCTAGTGCTGGCATTTTAGCTCAGCAGCATAAGCACCTGCCTGGCAAGTGCAAGGTCATGAGTTCGATCCTTGGTACCTCCCCCCCCAAAAAAACCTCTGTGCTTATGCCCTCAATTTTACATACACATTCTTGAGTGCCCAGAGCCTTGCCAGATTCACATGAGTGTCCCTCAAAGATCCGTTTGTTGAAGTCTTGGTCCCCAGGGTTCACTACTGTGAAGAGGTGGAGCACTTAGGTGGGACCTGGTGGGATGTGCCCTTGAAGGGGCTTTGGGACTGCGGTCTCTGTGTCTCTCCTTCCTGGCTCGTGACGTAAGCAGTTCACTCTGCCATGTACATTCTCCCCTGCTAGAGGCCCAAACCAGGTATGTCGCCCAATTTAGAACTGTAACCTCTAGAATTATGAGCTAAATGAACTTTTTTTCTGTAAATTAACTGCCTCTGTTTCATTACAGAAACACAAAAGTTCACTTCATATAAACCTCCTTCCTAAAATCTATAAACTTCAAAGGTAAGAATTATATGTACTAAAACAAACAAACAAACAACATTATTAAAAAGTGAGAAAAGAACTGGGGCTGTAGCTCAATGGCAGAGAGCTTATCTAGCATGCTTAATACCTTGGATTTTATCTCCAGCAGCCCCATCAAAACAATTAGTAAATTCGCTAAAACTTACAAACTATCAAAAATCATTCAAAGGAATAATTTAATAGGTTCTATGTCTACTTAAAAAAAGCAGATTTTCATTGGTGCATGTAGTGCATGTTTGTAGTAGGTAAGACTGCATTCACTGTGGGGGACTGGAACACAACATGTCTTAATTAGTTTTTTAATCTACAGAAAGTGGCTTTGTTAAAAACATTCAAACAAATAAAATTCCAGGCTAAAAAAGAAAAAAAAAGAACTATGGACAGGAAGCATAAAACAATTAATAATCATTTATTTCAACCAATTAAATTGCTTCAGTATCATTTATGAGTGATGACAAGACAAACAGTACTTCCTATATAGTTTATCACATTAGAAACAATAAGATTTTTCAAGACCAGCCTGGGCTACGAAGTGAGCTCAAGGCCAGCCTGAACTGCATAGCGAGACCTTGTCTCAAAGAGACCAAAAAAAAAAGAAAAGAAAAGAAACAATAAGATTTATAAACAAAATATTATATTGTTCATTTACATAGAGCTTGAGTTCCTAAAAAGTGTAATTGGTAGAGAAGCCAATTTTTATAATTCTTTTTCTGATTTCCCAGACACACAACTTCTATATCTCTAAAAAAAATAACCCAGGTTTAACAATCTAATGCTGACTTTGGATCATAGCCCTCAAGTATATACAGAAGCATCTTCCTTCAAATAAGTAACATATGACGTACCTCTCAACTGATAGAGAATTTTGTTTAAAGCGTTTGAAATTCCAATATACTACCACTTCTAGATATCTATTCCACCTTGCCTTATTAAGTTATTCCTCCAGAGATAAGGACAAAATAAAGGAACGGGGATAGGAGGTAAAAGGAATGATAAAACTGAAAAACAGTTAAAGATATTTGTCATTTTGCCCTTAAGATGAAACACACTAAGGCAAAGTAAACCTGAGCTTCAAAATTGTATAAAACAAACAAAAAAAAAGATTTTCCTATAAGGTGAAGTACAAGCTCATAGTTCTATTACATCATTGAATGCCAACATGAATTAGTAAGAATAGAGCTAAGCTGTCATTCTGTGTGAAGAACTAAAAACCTCCCAGTGTAGTTTGCCCTTTCTGAAAACACGGGGGCGGGGGGATTTAAATGTTTCCCATCTCAAAGCTTTCAAATGAATGCATCTTTGTGCCACAGTGGGAATCCGGAAGCAGAGATGCACAAGTTATATAATCATAAAGGCATCAAACATTTGAAAAGTCATATATATATATATATATATATATGTATATATATATATATATACATATATATATATACATATATATTCATTTCAGATATGAATTTCAGATATGAAATGAAGCAAAGAGTAATTTAGACACAGTTCACTGATACTGTGGAGATAAAAAATGTTTTTAAGTTTTTATTGGGCAAGCAAGAATACATGGAGATTTCAACAGAAAATTCAGACTAAAAGCAGTATTCACTATAAACATCATATCTCATCAGTCCTCAGTTACATTTTTTCATATTCTATCATCTCTGAAATAGGAATGCATCTTATCATTGATGCATTATAAGTGTTAATTTCTATTAGCCCATTAAATGGATGTGTTTCTTACAATCAGCAATGTCTTATATTCAATTAATATGATTACATATATTAATATGCATATATAAATGTCATTAATATTTTATTCTGTTGAAAAATAAGTAGAAACAAGGCATATATGTACATTATACAAAATTATTAAACACTGTTCTACTGATGTCATCCATCACAATTAAACAGTAAGAAAACAGGCATAAAAATCTAGAAAAAACGGTGATGCGCAAGGCAATAACGAGCCATTCCTACAGAAAACTACTGCCAAAGAGTGACTGGATGCAGGTGCCAATGTCTGTTAGCTGCAATTGCAGGAAACATTCAGTGACATCACAGCTGCTCATCAAAAACAAAGATAAAAAAGATTCTGGTAAGCTCAGTCTCTAAGTTTCCAATATGAAAAAGTAGGAGGGAGGTCAAAGAGAGGTAAGAGATGAAGGTGAAAAGGCTCAGTAACCTGGAGATCAGAATACAAACCCTACTTTCCCAACAGGTGGCGTTTTGTGGGATGATAAAGAGTACAAACCAGCTGTCCTTAAGATTCCAAGACCCCACAATAAGAAACCCAATCAATACTGATCAAACATATTCTACTGACCCTGAAGAATAGCGCTATGCAACTGGCAAAACACAACACATAAGGAAAGTAACAGAACATCTACAGTGACAAGCACTAGCCTCAACAGTTTGGGGGTGAGATTTCACATTTTAAGTTATTATTGAAACACTAATTTTACAGCAAAAGAAACTGCATCTCTATGATCATCATTCTCCATGATCCAATTCCCGCCACAACCCCTACATCAGCATTTAGCATGTTAGCTAGTTCAGGTTTCCTTCCAAGGAGCCCAGACTGTGTCCTGTAGGACTTAGGAGCATGGACTCTGCTTCCCAGACTCAGCCTTTGTATTATAGATGGGAAAATGGAGGTACAAACAGGTCACATGGTTTTTCTGCTGAGTGATACATAATAAATGCCCTATGTTTCTCTTAAAACAAACACTATGCTTTATACCTTTAGTAATTTGTAACCAGTAAATTTAAAATATGAGTAATGAACAAGCCATCATAACTTTATTTCTGGGAATCAAGCCAGATCCTAAATACTAAACATCATTTTAAAAACCTTAAATGTTCAAACTTGCTTTCACTTCTCCAATAGGAAAAATACTTGTAATGTTATGAAATAAACTACTAAAAATTCAAAGATACTATAATTTCTTAAGATTCTTAGCTTTAGATAATTTGTGTTTTGCCAGGTAATACTAGTTTCCATGTCTCTCACCCTTTAACTATGAGAAGGAGAAAGGAAGACTTCTAATTATTTAAGCAAACTTTTCTATTAGGTTTGCTTTTTAAAATATTTTTTTAACTTTACCTTAAGAAAAACTGTACTTCATCTCAAAATTAAGATTTAAAAAAAAAAAGTGTAAGTCCAATGACTAGATACTGATGTTCTTAACAAGAAATGACTGTGGGATTATATTAAGTAAAAAGCCAATATTAATTTTTACTTTCAAAAATATATATTAACATATTGAAGAATAAAGGAACTATTCTTTATAGTTCCTTTAACATATTGAAGAATAAAGGAACTTCACAGTGATGAAAAATGGCAGGGAGGTAGAATGTATTTTAAGTGATCTTTTCCATTAAATTTGGTCTTTTAACAGTGTTGGGGCTGTACTTCAGAGGTACAGCACTTGCCTAGTATATGCAAAGTCCTAGATTCTATGCTCAGCACTTCAAAAAAAAAAGAGGGAAAAAAATAGCCTGTTTCCATATAATAGTTTTTAAGTTCCTAAAGATGAATTTTGGACTTTACTTTTTAACTGATCCATCTTCACCCAAAATCAACACCATTATAAATATAAAAGAAGGCTTTACCAGAAATGGTGTAATACTTAAGAATACCAAAACTTATTA